TCAGACGCTTAACTGACTGCGCCACCCAGGCGCCCCTATAATTTATTTTAAATGTAAAAAAATGTATGATGAGCTTACCCTCAGAGTAGACAGCATCCATTATTTTGCTCTCTCCTAAAACTGGCACTTTGGGGTTTATGATTTAGAATAACTTTTTAAAGTAAAAGACATACTGTTTTAAAGATAAGCTAAGTCAGCAGTGGTAATGGCTCTACTTAGAACAAAGTAAAAAAAAATTAAAAGTCAAAGAATCTTGGATGCAAAATGATATTTAGTTAATGAATTCACTATCTGGCAAGGTGTATGTACTACTATGCAATTTGACTTCAAATCATTTTAAAGCCTTAACAATATGATAGACAATGGGCACATGTGGGTACTTAATTTAACTTAACTAAAATTAAATAAACTTAAAATGTAGTTTCTTACTTGCACATTTCAAATGCTCACTAGCCACATGTGACTAGAGGCTACTGTATTGGATAGAGCAGATACAGAACATTTCCATCACTGCAGACAGTTCAGTGATATTCATCACTGCATGGCTCTGAAAGAGACCCTTCTGAACTTTACAGACCTAATTACATTTCTTTCCCAAATATAAAGAGAAAAAATAATTTCTAAATTTACCCACTTTGAAAATTTGCATAGCATACAGATGACTCATTTATAGCTGCTTTAAAAATATTCTTTTAAAGGTTTTTTTACTCCTGTTATTTCTTCTCACACATGCGAATTTATGATGGCCTCTAGTTATGATGTTACTGTAGAAACTCATCCATAATGGTCCATCTCTAAATTTCCAGATTTCAAAGGCTGAGGCACTATAAACATTTGGACGTTACTGTATTTTACACTGAAAAAAGATCTTCATTCAACTACTCTACTTCATATCATATTCATATTATGTCAGAACCAAAGGCCATTCCTATACCCCACTTGGACTTTGTATTTCTACTATATTTTTTACATTGTGAAAAGAAATGATTAAATTAAAGGGTCTGCATCCTCAATAAAAATAATTGGGTCCCATATATCTTTCCATTCTTGTCATGCCATATGTCCATCAACTGACAAATAGATAAAGAAGATGTGGTATATATGTACAATGGAATATTACTCAGCAATCAGAAAGAACAAAATCTTGCCATTCACAACAATGTGGAGGGAATTAGAGTGTATTATGTTAAGTGAAATCAGTCAGAGAAAGAAAAATACTGTATGATTTCCCTCTTATGTGGAATTTAAGAAACACAACAGATGATGAACATAGGGGAAAGGAAAAAAAAACACAGAGAAGGAGGCAAACCATGAAACACACTCTTAACAACAGGGAACAAACTGAGGGTTGCCGGAGGGAGGTGGGCAGGGGATGGGCTATATGGGGGATGGGCATTAAGGAGAACACTTGCTGTGTTGACCACTGGGTGTCATATGTAAGTGATGAATCACTAAATTCTACTCTTGAAACTAATATTACACTGTATGTTAACTAAAATTTAAATAAAAACTTGAAATATAATAAATAAATAAGTAGATACTCTTGTTATGGTTTAATCCATTGTACTTTCTTCCTCTTTATCAGATGTCCCTTTAAAGACACGTGAAAGAAGACATCAGAGACACACTAAAAGGAAATGACCAGTGCACATCTGAAACAGACCCTTTTGTTTGCTCACAACTGTCATTTTCTCTACCCCACCTTTGTATTTCTGTGCCCCCTCACAGCAATTCTTGGCTTTCTACCTACTGCCAAACAGATGGTAACTGGTATGCACATCTAGGACACCCTCTATCTGACTCAGGTGCTTTCCAAGACTGGCTGTAACCATCCAAACCCTCTCCCTCAAGAAAGAACATCTCAGAATGCAAGTAAGTCAAACTGCCACTGAATCAAACATGATATCATCTACAAACTTTGGTATCTTTAACGAGTATAATCAATAAATTAGTTAGAGCATGCCTCACAAATGAACTCACACATTATTGTTAGTTCTATTGCTGTGCTGTGTATATCCTGTCTTCAGAGGAGGAATTTCAGAAACTAATTTTAGGCTTCTTGCAATCTCCTAGCATACTGGTATGGTACTGATGGTGAGCATGTAATAAGTAAACTAAATATTCTTTTTATGCCGCTTCTTTTTCATTGCTCTTGATTGCTAGAGAGTTCTCCATAGACAGCAGTGGGTTTTAATGTACCCACTGGCCTGGATAAGAGAGGTTCGGCAGTGAACTCCAGGTGTGGTCGTGGGTATTCATACTGGTCGACTACACCATCCACCAGGGGTTTGCTGCGGGGTTTAGATTAAAGGTGAGCAATGACCGACCCTGAGGTATCTGGATGAGCTATTTACAGCCTGAATTTTAATGGAGTTCTTAAGTAACCAAATCTGTAGCCCCAGGTATTATCAATGTCCTCAAGACTTAAAGGAAGGCCAAGTACTGTAGGGAAAAGCAAAAGGGGGCTGTACACACTTTCTGAGGACTCCCAACACTTCAAAAGTCATTATCACCTCAAAAAACTGGGTTTTCCACTATATATGTTCTCAGGGGCTCAGAATAGAACTAATGTGTGAAGAGAGAATGCTGTATTGTGAACTTCAGAAACATGACATAAATTATAAATATCCAATGTGATCACTTTAAAGAAGTGTAATTTTAAAATATTCACATTTAAACGATTTTTTTTTTTCAACGTTTATTTATTTTTGGGACAGAGAGAGACAGAGCATGAACGGGGGAGGGGCAGAGAGAGAGGGAGACACAGAATCGGAAACAGGCTCCAGGCTCCGAGCCATCAGCCCAGAGCCTGACGCGGGGCTCGAACTCACAGACCGCGAGATCGTGACCTGGCTGAAGTCGGACGCTTAACCGACTGCGCCACCCAGGCGCCCCTAAAATATTCACATTTAGAGGCAGGCCTATTCCCTCCAATTTTAATATCTTCAGCACAAAAAAAGTCTACTAACAAAGAAATTATGTTCATAATAAAATGTTAAGTGGAAATCCCTCCCCCTGACCTCTGAATTCTAAATCACATCCATAATATAGTTACAAGTATGTAGTTGTACAAGTACAACTACAAGTTACAAGTAGTATGGTTTAATGAGGCAGCAAAAATACGCAAAAATAGAAACTGTATGATGTTTAGGCAGATGGGATGGGCGATTTTATTCTTTTTCTCAACAATTTCTTTAATATTAAAAAATTAGTCATAAATAGATGGTATAGTGAAGTTTTTATTTGTTTGTTGTCTTAGATTTGAATACTATTTATTATAAACTGGATGAGATCCTGGTTTCTTTTAATTTCCTCCAATGCCTGGCTACAACTCTCCAAATGAATGAACATTTTCTAGTTTCATGGTGAAGTTTTTCAACGTTTATTTATTTTTGGGACAGAGAGAGACAGAGCATGAACGGGGGAGGGGCAGAGAGAGAGGGAGACACAGAATCGGAAACAGGCTCCAGGCTCCGAGCCATCAGCCCAGAGCCCGACGCGGGGCTCGAACTC